ACCCACACCTACATTCAGATCAACACCCACACCCGCACCCACACCCACACCTACATTCAGATCAACACCCACATATCCACATCCACAGTCACACACCCACACCCACACATCCACACCCACACACCCACACACCCACACTCACACTCCACACTGACACCCACACTCACACCCAACATTATCTTGGTTGGTAATTGAAATGTTAATAAAGTTGTTTATATTTATAGTCAAATGTTTCAGTACCAATTGTTTTGTGATAAAGAATTTCGGAAAAACATATTCTTTTGCTATTTTTATATGATAAATAGTGGTTTTTTTGAATGTTACAGAACTTTCATGAGATTTCTAACGCTTGTCAAGTGCTGATGTGATTTCGAAGTCTCATCAAGTCTTGAAGACTTGAAGTGTAGTACGGCTTGTCCAAACGTAACGCTGTTACGTTTTTGATATACTCTTCTCCAACTTTCTCGAAAAGTTTAAGAGCTAGGAAGTTCGTTCAAACGTCATTCGACGCAGCTTATCGAACTTCATTTATCATATAAAAATGACCTTTTTTGATTGAAGTCTCAGGCATCTAGAAATGTTTTATCAGGGCGTAACGCTGTTACATAAAAGGACCCTTTTTTTCCAGTGCCACTGAGAAAACTCTAATTTCTTGCGAAATCATTTCTTCAAATGTAATGCTCCAAGAATCACTTTTGTAGAGCATTGAATAGACTTTCAGGCAGTAAAAAAGATTTTCTCTAAAACATTTTTGTTCAAATAAAAAATGCAAAAAACAAACGTAACGCTGTTACGTTTTTCGTAACACTGTTACACAGTTTTTTGTTGACCAATTTTGAGGCACTTAGTGTACTCGGAATTACTTGATTTTTATAATTGTTACTGTTTTATAAGTAGACAATCTCCTCTGAAAAAATGAGATTGATACATCGATCTGAGAGATTATAAACTGGGCAGGAAGTTGGAAACCTTATCGAAGCTTTCAATCCATTCTAAGCTACCAAAGTCAAAACTAAATAGACCATTTTGTAGAGAATTTAATTCTGCATCGAATGGTATGTCTCTTAGCCCTTGTTGAAAAACTTTCTTGGTTAAAAAACCCAAAATACGGTTTTTGAAAATTTTAAAATCCGATTTTTGATATCAAAATCTGATTTTTATGCTAAATCAATATCAAATTCGTAATCAGCGTAAAAATCTGCATCTAATAGTCCAATGAGATCTGTCCAACTCGAAAAAAAATTTTTTCAAAACTTGATCAGCGAAGTGTCGCGTTACGCGGACAAGCCGAGTACCGTTTCCCTCTCGATGTTTCGTCTTTGTCACGATTTCTTCTTTCTTATAGGTCTTCGATGCCAGTTAGAAAGTAGAAGTAGCGAACAGTAGAAGAAATAAGACTCTCAATCAATATTATCTTGTTTCTTTCCCTTCATTTTATTCGCAATAAGATAATAACGGGAATTCAAATGGAAGACAAGGCTGATGTCAATAAGAAAAAGTGAGACAGACGATGACAGATTGAAGATTAGACTGCAGGATGTTGATAAGAAGAATAAAATAAACGCACATTATGTTTCATCGGTACATTCTGAGGTTAGGTTTTCTTCGTTCGTTGACTACTGATCACTGGATTTCAAGATACTGGATAATTGCTGTACTAACAACAGTGAGTAAGACTATATACATATTTTCTTGCTATTGATTTTTTTGCAATAGCCAGCTATTTTAACTGTGTCACAACTCTGATTGAAATGAGAACAATTTATCTCACTTTTCTGTCAGAGTGTCTATTCAACTTGTTCTGGCAATTATTCTTTGCCTTCTAATGAAGCTGATAAGAACTTAAGAGAGAGTCCGCGAGAGGACCACCCTAGGTCGCCGGGGAAAAAATTTTTTTTTTCGATTTTATTTTCTTAAATGATAGGTCTGGGTAATCTATAGTTAAATTCAAAATATTAGGTCATTTGGTTTTACCTATGGAAAATGCGAGCTAAAACAAGTGTAAGGGGGACAATTTTGACCCTAAAAATCCGCTAAAAATGGGTGTGCTCAGTATTTTGATATTTTCTCATGAACGGTTTGACCGTTTGAGATCGGCCACATCTCATTAGATAGGGAACAGTATAGGCTACAAATTTATCCTATTTCGATGCCTCATATCTGGCATAAAAGAAACGCTATAGATCAAAAACCTTCCAAATCTCAAGAAATCCTACATTCTGGGATAGCAGTATTTTGGGCTTTTCTTGAGTGATGCAAGTGGTCCCAAACTTCTTTTTTTACCAGACATAGATCTCTTCAAGGTACATCTTTTGACATTAAATTGTCAAGACGAAAAAACTCAGGGGCCAAATTAGCATGGATCACACTGTGCTCTACCCTACCTAGTCGCTATTGATCCTACCCCACAAAGTTATACAATTTCTATCGAAATCATGAAAATAGACTTCAGATTCGTGTTCAGCTTGAAAAACTGACTTAGATAGGATATTTTAAATTGATTCCTTACTTGTACCAAACGTGTTCAAGATCATGGGTCCACCTCATGAATATATGATGGATATATGCCACGGTGTTTTGATAATAATTCACCAATAATAATAGCTATCGAGTTCGGGTTTTTACCATTCGATAGCTCTTTTTGAAAGCTACAAAACTGTATACTTTCCAAGCTTAAAACTCTTGATCACTTGACCCATACCGCGACACATTGGTCTTGGACCACGGTTTTATACATTTTTGTCCCCTGTTTAGCCCATTTTCTGTTAAAAAGCAACAAATTGAATCAAAATCAATGTCATATTCGGAATTAGCGTTAAAAACTGAGTCGATCCATATATGTCTCAAAGATTTCTGAGAAAAAAATTTTTGCTATGAAAAAATGACCCTGTACTCCTCCTCAGCGTTCATGAAAAAATCATTTCTCTCAAAAGTGCCATTTATCGTGCGGGATGGAATAGCCGAGCTTCTCTAATTTCAAAAAAAGTAAAATCGGAAAAGACTAAACGACAAAAGTGCCATTTTGGGAGAAATGATTTTTTCATGAACCCCTGAGGGGAAGTACAGGGTCATTTTTTCATAGGAAAAATTTTTTTCTCAGAAATCTTTGAGACATACATGGATCGACACAGTTTTTAATGCTGATTCCGAATATGACATTGGTTTTCATTCAAATTGTTGTTTTCTAACGGAAAAGGGGCTAAACAGGGAGCAAAAATGGATAAGAGCGCGGTCCGAGACCAATGTGGCAGGGCATGTCTCAACTCATCAGCCGTTTTTGAGTTAGGAAAGTATATAGTTTTGTAGCTTTCAAAAAGAGCTATCGAATGATAAAAATCCTAACTCAATAGCTATTATTATTGGTGAGTTATTATTAAAATACCTTTGCATATATCTATCATATATGCATGAAGTGAACCTATGATCTTGAACACACTTACTACAAGTAAGCGATCAATTTAAATTAACCTATCTAACCCAGTTTTTCGAGCTGAATACGAATCTGAAATCCGATTTCATGATTTCTATAGAAATTGTATGACTTTGTGAGGTAGGACCAAGGGGGAAACAGCTGATTAGGAATCCGCTAATCATCCTAATCACTCCTAATCACCGCTAATCACTTCTAATCACCGCTAATCACTCCTAATCACCGCTAATCACTCCTAATCACCGCTAATCACTCCTAATCACTCCTAATCACCACTAATCACTCCTAATCATTATTAATCAGTCTTAATCATTACTAATCATTACTAATCAAACAGTGACCAAATCTAATCACTTTTAGTTAAGTATAATGTATAATATTATAAAAGAGATTCACAATCAAACAGAAGTTTCTTCTGTACAAATATGTATACCAATATATTGTTAATACGAGGACACTTTTTACAAAACTATTTATTTAATAAAAATTCGAGCTTTCTAATGTACAAGACAAAGATTAGTATATGATGCATTTCGGACGAAACAGAAAAATATTTGATTTCTCTCTATGTTGAAATTTGTCCACATATATTCGCATCCTAAAAAAGAAAGTAGTGAGAGTGTAGTTTACAAATAAAGGTTAAAATACCATATAAGTAATAAAATATGTCACACACAAAAAAAGAAAGACTTATCTACATCAAGAAATAATTTAGTTGTACAATATAAAGCTATGATGTAAAAATAGAACCGTACTGTATAACTATGACATAATAAAAAATATTTTAAAGATAATTTCAATTCTTTTGTTTTTTTTGACTGTTGATTTTGTGTGTCGATCCAAGTGTACGTTTACGATTAGGAATAACAGCTGTGGTCGATTGTGAATTATTGTCAATAAGTTGACTTGATGATGTTGAATAAGAATTATTTCTATTCGTTTCTTCAAGTTTCTGTTCCTTCAACAAACGATTAACATATTTACAGCCAGGTGATTTTAAATGACGATAAAAATTAGATGGTATTAATTTATTATGGAGTTTTCCTAATGTAATAATTGTTTTACATAGACATTCAATCGATGCTTGGACACCATTAGTACCTGCTTTTACGATTAATCTGAAATTATTACCTTCTTCTAGTTTGAATTCTTTTAGATTCAAAAAATGTTCATTCAAAGATAACCAATCATCAATACATTTTAATAAATGATTTCGTTGATCATCAACTGTAAGAGTACAATACGTGTTAGCAGTTGATACAGCTGGTGTTGCTGATGGAATTGCAAATGAAGAATAATTGATCAGATGTTTTGGGGCAATTCGTTGTCCTTCTTTAAATATACGATCACTTGCTATCTCCAAGATATCGAGTAAACATTTAATTTTTGTACGATTAGCACTTTTGACGATTAAATTATTATTATCGATCTTTAATAATAATTCTTGACGTAATAAATCAGTTTCAACATCATTGATTTTTAAAAACAAATGTTCGAAAACATCTGTTGTTAGCAAAAGAATTGGCACAGAATTTATTTCTTGTACTCGAAGTAAATTTGATAATGTTGAACCAACCAAATATTCAATGAAAGAGTAAAATTGATCATCAACTAATGTTAATATTTCTATGGGTAATTTCCAAGGATGGAAATATAATTCTTGCAACTTTGGTACATTAGAAAGAGACATGTTGTAGATAGTTGATAGAGTAATAATGGTGTATGTTCAACGTTTAACAAGATAGAAATGACTAAGGAATTTTAAATAAGAGAGACGTGGAAACGAGGTAGAGAAAAGATAATCAAATCTAGGGATGTCTCGTGGTCAAATACATACACTATACAACATGGACGAAAACAGTACAACTAGAAAGAAAAGGGCTTGATAGTTACATATATTTTTCTCAATATTCTTTTCTTTCCTTCTCTTCACGTTCAACTCATTAATTTGGCTATTGAATGTTCAAATTCAATAAGATAACCATATGCTTCTACACTGCAAAAGCAACGATGTTCAACATAATGGACACAAATGAATATCATGACCAGACAAGCGTATTTTCTTCTTTTCAGTTCAGATCATGTTCTGTATTCTGATAAACATTAAATACAAAGCAAAAGATCATCTTATTTCCATTTTCATCAGCGAAAACCAATGTTGTCGGTCTCATTCAAATAAAGAGAAATACACTTTTATTCATAATACAATAGGTATTGATGTATCGAGTTTGATTCGGATAGGTTCTAGTTGATCGTCGCTCAAAGTTATTTTTGTAAATTTGAACTTTATGCATAAAAAATGATAGGAAACGAAAGTTAAAAGGCATTAATTGCCTTCACCAGAATACTAATTTAACCTTTGCGAGATATGTGATACAAATATTAAAAGTGTGAAAGGAATAATTGAAAAACATATATCATTTCTCTTGATTTGTGTTTTATATTGTTTATAAATCCAGAATTCATTTTCTCACATTCTAGATTTGGCTGCACGCACTGAAAAATTAGTTATTGAATTATGGCTGCAGCTGTTAGTATCGATGATAATTCTCGTTTACCAGAAAATGTTCTGGAATTAGAAGGAGATGATTTCTATCGATTTACAAAAAGTATGAGTGGTGCATTATTGACTGAAGTACTTAAAATACAGGATATTGATTCAGTTTTTATATTTTTACAAACAAGTGATATTTTTGAAATATTCCAACATGATTCTACAATATTACGAGATTTGAAATCAAAAATAGGTTTCGATTCAAATGATGGTACATTTCAAGTCAAACTTGGTTTAAAACTGCAATACGAATATATATCAAAATTATTGAAATCAAAATCAGATCAGAAATATACAAAATCATCGTCTCTTACATCTGAAAAGATTGATATACTACTTCGAAAACATCCAATTCTTCTTTCACTTCTCAATTCCTATGAGAATGAAAGTACAACAAATGATCAACATGAATTTTTATCCCTATTTATAAATACTATAACGAAAAATTTATCTTTATCTAATACGAGTCGATATAGATATGATGACAAATTGAAAAGTTTTGCTGTTTGCTTGTACATACTTGGAGGAAAGACAACTTATGAGTTTGTCCGATTAAATTTGCCAGGATCATTGCCAAATCTTACAACAATTCATAGTTTAATACAAAATAATGATGATAATTTAACAGAAGGTAAATTTCGATTCAATAAAATGGCAAAGTATCTCAATAGTTTCGGTGTTCAATATGCATATTGTGCAGAAGATTGTAAGTTTTTCATGAATAATATCGATTAGGTTTTGATTGTCTTCTTGTAAACGATTTTTTCTGAAACATTTTGTTTCTACAAAGAATAAAATTTAAGAGTAAATCTGAAATAGATTCATTCCTGTTTGTTCAATGATCAATAAATAAATCATGTCATGGAACATAAAACAAATTACAATCATATACTTTCTAAACCTTTGAAAGCCCCTTCAGTCCACTTGAAACAAAAGTGCTTTTCATTGAGAAAATATGAGAAAATCAGCTTTGTTTGATTGTTGAAATTTGAACTATGTCTTTACTAAATGATAGAGAAGGTTTGCTTTACTCATCTCTATTCTCTTGATAATAGCAGCAACAGTGAATTAACACTGTTTAAGACAAACAAATAAGAAATAGGATTTATAACGAGGAAACAGCAGACTCCAGAACTCTTGAATTCTAAGGAGCTCCATTAGATTCTATTCGATTCCATAGGGCTCCAAGGAACCCCGCGAATATAATGGAGTCCTATGAAGTCTCTGGAATTCCTGAAGTTCTGGAGTCTGTCGTTTCCCCCTTGAGAATTTATTAATTGATCTTTTATAACATTCTAGGCACAGGTGTGGTACGACGGATCAAATACGACACGCATACAAATAGTTTTATAGGTTTTTCAACTCCTCTATCTGGTGGTGTTCCATCACCATGTCATTTTAAAACAGATTCAATATCTCAATTAAAGTTGTGGATGGATAAAAATGAAAAGGCTCCAATGTTGAACATTCATTGTGTTCAAGCCATTCCACCACCCAATCAAACAGTAGCATCACCAAATTTTATTCTCGCTGGCTATGGCACCAGCAGTAAATATACATCATTAGATATTCTTAGGCGGTGGCTATTCATTCACAAGAATTCTATTGAACAAAATGTGCGAATCCTCGGATTTTCCACCGGTAAATTCAAGTCATTTTCAGAGATTAAAAATTTCATTCATAGCTATTTGAAATCACCATTAAATAGTTCGTTTAATTCCCGCTTCAAAACACTAAAAGAAAATAAAAAGATCAGATTGTTTTCAAAATCACATAGAATCAAAAGTTCCGATGGACATTCAGCATTTTATCTTTACAAAAAATAATCGGATAAAAAGATATCGTTCATTATAAAAGACTTTTTTATTACAATATTATGTTGATGAAATAGAAAACAAGATACATACTTTTAATTTTTTTTTTCTTCGTGATACTTTAGATGCTGATAATAAATATTTTCGTGCTATGCGTTTGATGTCTGGATTCTATGCAAGCTTATCGAATTTTGATGTACATGTTGATTCTTCTATGTTTTCAATTCAAACTGGTAATTGGTCTTGGTATTTTTTAAGATCTGAGCAGCTTTTTGTGTTTATGCAAGATGCAACTCACCTGGTCACAAAGTTAAGAAACCGTTTATTATCTGCAACAGCAGGTTTACAAGTTGGTGATAAATGTATAACAATGAAACATTTACAACAATTACTTGATAACGAAGAAATGATTCGGCTAGATCATGGATTGACACAAAGTGATCTAAAACCAACAGATCGTCAAAATTTTCGTTCTTGTTTGAGAATTACATCTTGTGATGTGTTAAATTTAATAGCTCGTGATGATAATTCTAGTGGAACTTACATGTATTTAAAATTGATAAAATTGATCATAACTTCGTATATCGAACCAACAACTTCAATTGAAGAACGTATGTTTCAGCTTCATTATTCAGGTTCTCTTTGAGATGCTCTTTAATTGAACTAACTCTGTTGTTGTAAATAAAAGTAATCTTTTTGCTGCAAATTTCAGTCTTAACTAAATATCAATTCATTTTTAGTTTTTTACTGAAAACAACATTATAGTTCTGATAATTTCCTGTATATTAATATCAGTGGTACAGCTAACTCTTTTAGAAATACTATGCATACGGAGAGCGTTGATCTACATGTTTTTCCTTGTTGTGTAGGTTTAAAAGGTGCTTGGACTGCTGTTTTTCTTCTACGTTTATGGTGGGTGTGGTTATTACTTGTACGATTATCATCTTTATCTTCATCCAGCACAAAATCCAGAAAAAATTGCCGTGAGAGATATTTTGTTACTCGTACTGCATTTTTTTCTGCGGAGCTTAATGCTCATTACCTCACTTATCTTATTATTCTTGTTCAACAAAAACAATTACCTGTGGAAGTATTGAACATCCATTTGTTTTCATCGCAAACATGCGAATCCACTTTTCGCAATACACGTTCACTTAGTGGAATTTTCTCTACAGTCATAAATTACACTGTAGAAGATTTTTTACGACGGTCAAGAAAGCTTTCAATTCTAAATGGATTTAAATCTCAGGACAAATCAACATCCTTACTAAAGTTTCCCATTCATCATAAACATATCCCACTTAATACAGCAAGAAGCAATCAAAATTTGATTGATATTAGCATGTTGAATGTGGAAAACGTGGTCATACAAGCTTATCAATCAGCTGTTAGTATTACAGAAAATCTCAACATTTCATCCGTAAGTTATCTATCATTTACATATGAGTTCTTCGATATGCTGCGCGATTCTTTCGTAAATCCGAATAAAAGATTGATTCGCGTAGTTTAAAGAAGAAAAGAATGAAGAATTGTATTGATTGTAATTTTTTATGAATATTTTAGTTATTGAAGAAGCACAAACTGTTTGATATGAATGCGTTGAGTGAATATTTGCACAATCATCTAAGATTAAAATCAAAATTACATGATAACGTACAACTTTTTGAGAATGACAATGATGATTCAGACTCAGAATTTGATCTCGATAGTGATGACGATGATGATATCAGTTCAGTGTAAGTTACATATTAATTATGACATTAGATAAAGTTTTTTTTTTCTATGCATGTTTTCGTAAAATTATTCTCGTCATCAAATGTAGCAAAATGCTGAGGAAATTACGAAAGATTAGTTCGAATTCGATGATCATACATCGTATCACTCATTTTCTCATGAATTTTTTAGATACAACGAATCAAGTAGTAGCGAAGCAGAAGATGATGACGATGACAATATGGACGACGAACAATTGAAAACATTTAAAACAAGTTTTGATGGATTAAATATCAAAGACAGTGTACCAGCTGATCAAGATGAATCATATTTCAAGATTAAAATCAATGATATGAATAAGTTCTTACATAAGTCCACGGCTTGTTATCTTCTTACAAGAGACAATAATAGATTATCTACTAATAGATTATCACGAGTTATTCAAACATCAAAAAAATGATGAATTGTTTCCTTTTCTTTGCGTAAACTTTTTCTTGAAATTAGAAATATATGTACTTGTTGATAGTTCGTGTTACTTCTTCTTAAAATCCTTAAATTGAAAAACAATACAAAAGAGTTAAGGCAAAAGCTTCGGGTACTTTAAGATAGGTAACGAAATCTAATGGCAACATAGTCTATTAAATGGCTTAAAACAGTTTCGTTTTCCGTATACAACGCAAGTAAAGAAGCATAGGGACATGAAATAATATATGATTTTTATTCATTTTTCTAATCAACTCTAATCACTCCTAATCACTCCTAATCACTCCTAATCGTTCCTAATCACTCCTAATCACTCCTAATCATTACTAATCACTCCTAATCACTGCTAATCACTGCTAATCACTGCTAATCACTGCTAATCACTGCTGATCACTTAAAATCATATCTAATCAAATAATCAGCTGTTTCCCCCTTGGGTAGGACATATGATGACTAGGGAGGATAGGTCACAGTGTGGTCCATGCTAATTTGGCCCCTGAGTTTTTTCGTCTTGACAATTTAATGTCAAAAGATGTACCTTGAAGAGATCTATGTCTGGTAAAAAAAGAAGTTTGGGACCACTTGCACCACTCAAGAAAAGTCCAAAATACTGCTATCCCAGAATGTAGGATTTCTTGCGATTTGGAAGGTTTTTGATCCATAGCGTCTCTTTTATGCCAGATATGAGGCATCGAAATAGGATAAATTTGTAGCCTATACTGTTCCCTATCTAATGAGATGTGGCCGATCTCAAACGGTCAAACCGTTCATGAGAAAATATCAAAATACTGAGCACACCCATTTTTAGCGGATTTTTAGGGTCAAAATTGTCCCCCTTACACTTGTTTTAGCTCGCATTTTCCATAGGTAAAACCAAATGACCTAATATTTTGAATTTAACCATAGATTGCCTAGGCCTATCATTTAAGAAAATAGAATTGAAAAAAAAATGTTTTTCCCCGGCGACTTCTATGGAGAGTAGGGTGATCCTCTCGCAGACCCTCTCTTAACGCCTTCGAAATTTCGCGAAACACTGAAAAAGGAAATGTGCATCCTGATTATCATTTATTTATCTAACTAATGGAGGAATATGCTATTATGCTTGGTTACAAAAGTTTGTAGGAAAAAAATATCGTTCATCTATTGTTCATGCCGTTTATGGTTTTGTAAATCCGATGACATCACAAGCCAGTCTCGCGCCCGAATTTCCACTCTTCAACGATTCCTCATTCCATCCACGACCTAGATCGTCGGGCATCGCATGCATAACAATAGCACGCACAACAATTGAATGTTCACCGTAAAGAGATATCATTGGATCGAGTATGTTGAGATGAACAATGCCATAAGCATCTGCTGTCACATTTCCCAAATCATCCAGATGTCTGGCAGAAGAAGAAAAAAAAATTTTTGATTATTCGAATACCAAACTAAACTACAGACCTTTAAACGTCATTTAGACCACCATGAGTATGATTGAACGGATTAAAATGTGCGCCTGTATGGGTGTGGATATGGGTGTGGGTATGGGTATGGGTGTGGGGTGTGGGTGTCGGTGTGGGTGTGGGTGTGGGTGTCGGTGTTGGCAGTACCCTCTCTCACACCCCATGCCTACAACCACATCCTAGCCACACTCACAACCACACCCACACCCACACTCACAACCATACCAACACCCTTTTTTTCACAGTTGTTTGAGATTCATCAATTTTTTGGTCCAGAACCAGAGAAAATAAAATTCAAATTATATGGTTTGATAGAAAAGCCGATGCTCTATCCAACTGTGTTAAAATAAGAAATTTCCAATGTATTGCATGAATACGGCAAACTACACAAAACTATTAAAAATAACGTAATCAACCTGTATATGTCTTTCTAGCAGTGCATAAGCAACACAGTTCCATTGCGTTCTTGCACAAAAGCATACTTATTAGCATACATAGACTTTTTGTGCAGGACATTATGCTCTTTGTTGGCGAGCAAACAGGGTAGAAGGATCTCTACAAAATACCTAAAATTTGCAGATTTTCATCACGGATGATCTCCTGGCAGAAATGAAATTCTTTTCGTTTATTATGAAGCCAATGTGTGATATATAAAAAAAAAAAGATTATTCAGTCAACCACTGCATGTTCTTTGTCAATCTTCTGTGTCCCATTCTTGAATCGGGTACCATGTTAAAGGGCGAAATTTCTTGAGGCCGAAAATCCACCAGATAATAAAAGAAAGATAAATGAAAAATACTTCACTGATGCTAGTAATCAGCTTTGGAGCCCATGCCATTGTGCGTAACATGTGACGAGCTCGTTCGGGCTGTGCATGAGGACCTTGTAGACGATACTGTGCGATAGATAGTGGTCCTATCATACACTGCAGCCAAACACGTGGCTCCGTCAGTAGTCGTCGGAAGCCTAGATCGGGTCGACAGCCAATTGCACGTGCCACATCGTCGGAGAACAATAAGTGATCGGTTAGATTGGTGATACGATCAGTACGCGTCGTCTTGAGCTTGTATTCGAGAAAGCGCACATATGCGCGAGTGTCCTTCACCATGGTTATCTTTTACATAGAAAATATCAAGCAATGCTTTAGAATTTGCGAAACAATTACTGATTAAAATCAAATTCTTTTTTCATCAAATAAAAAAAAGTAAAAGAAATGCATTCTCCAACAATGTCAAGTAGCAATGGAGGGAAAGTTAGCAGCGGATTCGAGTATTTTCTCTGACGATTCCTCTCTCCCTAAACTAAGGCACAAATCAAGCATGGCAAGCCAGACGCAACTCAACGAGCTCTATCTAAGCTAGTAATCAGATCCAAAAAAACTGGAACGGGTACCTACAATCCATGAAGTTTCATTTTTTCCCATAGGCACCTATGAGTAAATTTACTATTTCCTATGACGATTTGCCTGATAACTTAAGTCATCTCTAAATCTTATGCTATTCGATGCAGCTCCACGAGCTCTATCGAATAGCAGAAGACTCACGAGGGAATCTCTCGAGGTGATAAAAAGCTTTTCGATTCAGACTACTTTTATCTTGTAGGCCCTAGTGAGTAGTGAAATACCCTGACTTGGTTCGTCCCCTTATTGCTTTGTAATGGAGTTATGACCATTTTACTGGTTTTTCGACCTATAACACTATGTGAGCAGCCACAGTAAATAAGTGTGTTTCGACCTGAAATTTTGTCCATAAAGAGGTCTTATGAATACTAGAATATTCTGAAAGTTTCAGACAAAACGAATGCATCCTTGTTGAAATAATGAATTTTAAAAAAACAACTGTTTTCCGAGGTAAATTTTAATTTCGTGTCAGAGATAGTCATTTTTTTAAAATTCATTATTTCAACAAGGACGCATTCGTTTTGTCGGAAACTTTCACAATATTCTAGTATTCATAAGACCTCTTTATGGACAAAATTTCAGATCGAAACACACTTAGTTGCTGTGGCTGCTCACATAGTGTTATAGGTCAAAAAACCAGTAAAATGGTCATAACTCCATTACAAAGCAATAAGGGGATGAACCAAGTTAGGGTATTTCACTACTCACTAGGGCCTACAAGATAAAAGTAGTCTGAATCGAAAAGCTTTTTATCACCTCGAGAGGTTCCCTTGTCAGATATGACTTAAATCGTCAAGCGAAGCGTTTAAAGAAATACTGGCTAAAATCCTTTTCTGAGGGATTTTACAGGCCTTTTGCCTATCTAAAATCAATTATGGAGGTTGAATCATGCGCCAATTGATAGAACTTGTCGAGCTACATCCAATGGTATTATGGGTATCCATCTCATTTTTTTTTTTAAATATAATTACTGGTTAAGATGGAGATCATTCAGTTACGTCTGACTTAACACAAGTGGTTTGTGGCTTAGGTTATGAGGCAAATTGTTGGAGAAAAAAGTCGAATCCGCTGCTAACTTTCTCTACATCAAGTAGCAATCCAAGTTAACCTATGCGGTCCGATATGTATGAAGCCAGCTATATGAAGCGTATTTGTGTGGCTTTACGCATACGAGATCGCAAAAGGTTAATTTGAAAGTGGTAGAAAATATGTTTAGCTACGGCAAGACGGATTCACTTTAATCCTTTATCGGTATGTTACTCGAGAAATAGATTCTCGGGCGAAATCACAAATATGTTTTTCAATCAAATGTTGTAACTAAGGCTGCTTTTCTGTTATTAATTTGTAAAGAAGCTGCTTTTTTTTTTGAAAAAATTTTCCTACCTGGTCAGGCAGAGAACGAGAGCCCGAGCAAAGCAGAGCAAACCAACGTGCTTGCATTTCTGCTAGCGGCGGAATGGCGCCGAAGGTGGGCCGTACAAAACCGATGAAAAAGAGGCCAGTGCCTGTGAGTGGATGAACCGAGTGCTTGTAGAGATTATGAGATGTTCGAGCATCCCGCGTAACTTGTTGTAAGCCCTCGTCTTTCATGTTCGCGTCAAGGAAAGCGAAGCGATTTTCGAAACCCGTGCAACAAACAATCTCATCCACCTCTTCTTCTGTACCATCAACGAAGATGATTGATTGTTCTCGCAGTTCGCGGATAGCCGGCTTCTTTTGACAACCATAGCAGACAATTGCCTCGGACATACCGTCATTTTTCGTCCCGAAGCTGTTGTGATAGTTACTGGTTGCGAATTGTTTGCGATTCATTTCGAATGTGTGTCGATGAATTTTCAACTGACGACTTTCTTCCTCGTTCAAGCCGTTGCCTGCTTTTCGTAGCGCATACTACATAAGAAAGATACATGCATGACCATGGTGAAAACACTCACAAGTTTACAGAGTCTAAAAACTGAGCTTGAACTCGTGTGTGGTATTCAGATGAATGAGTGTGTAATCAGCAGAATGAATTTTCTTTCGTCATATAATGCTCTACTTGTTGATATTTCCGTTTATCACGATTATTCGCCTTCAGTAGAGATAAAAATATTTCGAAGCATATTTCAATGCTGCCTGACTAAAACCAATTTT